CATGATGGTTAGCACTGCTGCCTCACAGTGCCACGGACCCAGGTTCAATTCCACCCTCAGGCTAGGTAGATTGGCCATGATAAAGTGCCCATAGTGTCCAGGGATGTGCAAACTAGGTGGATTAGCCATGGGAAATGCAGGTTCCTCTTTGGAGGGTCAGTGTGGATTTGACAGGCTGAATGGCCTGCTTCCACACTGTAAGGATTCTATGATTTTATTCAATATCACTGAGCAGCTACAGACCACTCTTAGAGGGGAGGGTGACCAACCAGTTAGTCATGGTCCACATTGGAACCAATGACATAGGCTGAATGAGAGATATGTCCTGCAGTCAGAATCTAGCGGTTAAAAAAAATAGCAAACAAGATTTCAAAAGTAGTAATCTCAGAATTGCTCCTAATGCCACATGCAAGTGTGTCCAGGAATTGGAGGATAAGGCAGACTAATGGAAAGTTGGTATAAAAAGGAGGACTTTTGAGGCACTGGGACTGGCTCTGGGAGATATGGGATCGGATAGGATGCACTGAACAGAGTCAGGACTAAGTTTCTTGTGGGATGTTTTAATGATGCAGTTGGGGAAAGTAAAAACTAGTTTGGTAGGGAATGGGGTAGATTCAGTTGGGACAAAATCGGAAATGAAAATGGAAGGCAGAAAGTTAGTGGATCAGTCCTGAAGGCAGACAAAATAAAAGTGAGAGAATTTTCAAAAATCTTCCAGGAATCCTTAGATTCTGGAAAAGTCTCAAAGGATTGGAACACTGCCAATATAACACCTTTCTTTAAAAAGGGAATGAGACATTAAAAAAAGGTCATTTAGCTTATCAATTGTTATTGGGAAAATATAAAGGATGTAATAGCAGAGCATTTAGAAATACATTATATGATCAAACAGAGTCAACATGGCATAATGAAGGGGGGATCATGCCTTATAAGTTTACTAGAATTCTTTGAGAAGGTAATAAACAGGATGGATAAAGGGGAAATAGTAGATGTATGATATTTTGATTTTGAGAAGGTGTTTGATAAGGTACCACATATTAGGCTACTGGGGTTACTTAGCTCCTGACATCATTACAGCCTTGGTTCAAACATGAAAAAGGGCTGAAATCCAGAGTCGAGGTATGAGTGACAGTCCTTGATATCATGGTCACATTTGACCATGTGTGGCATCAAAGAGTTCTGCAAAACTGGAGTCAATGGGAATCAAGGGGAAAACCTGGTTTGCTACTCAGAGTCTTACTTGGCACAAAGGAAGATTGTTGTGGTTGTTGGAGGTCAGTCACCTCAGCTCCATTTCATCTCTGCAGGAGATCTCAAGTAGTATCCTAGGTCCAACCATCTTCAGCTGCTGCATCAATGACCTTCTCTCCATCATAAGGTCAGAAGTGGGATGTTCATTGATTGAGTCAGACAGCACAGAAACAGATCCTTCGGCCCAACTGATCCATGCCCAACATAATCCCAAACTAAACTAGTCCCACATGCCTGCACTTGGCCTATATCCCTCCAAACCTTTCCTATTCATGTACTTATCTAAATGTTTTTAAACGTTGTAATTGTGCATGCATCCACCACTTACTCAGGGAGTTCAATCCACATGTAAACCACGCTTTGTGTAAAAAAAATTGCCCCTCATATCTTTTATAAATTTCTCTCCTCGCACCTTAACAGTATGCCACCTAGTCTTTAAATCCCCCATCCTTAGGGAAAAGACACCTACCACTAACCCTATCTATACCTCTCATGATTTTAAAAACCTCTATAAGGTCACTTCTCAACCTCCTAGCTCCAGTGAAAAAAGTCCCAGCCTATCCAGCCTTTCTTTATAACTGAAACCTTCTATATCCGGCAACATCCTGGTAAATCTCTTCTAAACTCTCTCTAGCTTAATAATATCCTTCCTTTAATAGGGTGACCAGAACTGAACACAGTACTCGAGAAGAGACCTCACCAGTGTCCTGTACAGCCTCATGATTGCACAATGTTCAACACCATTTATAACTCCTGATGATTCCATCAATGTGTTATTTGACTAATTGGTGAAATAACTCTCCCATTTATGGCACAAGCCTCCAAATGTTGGCATGGAGGATATTGCAAGGTTGAAAGGACTGAGTTTGCCATTGTTATTTCCAGTGCCCAGGTCGATACCAGGTGAACTATCTGGTTTCATTCCTTTTTTTGGAGCCTTTTTAGCAGTTGATATAAATGAGAGGCTTGCCTAACCAATTTTAGAGGACAGTTAAGAGTTAACAATATTGCTGTGGGTCTGAAGTCACATGTAAACCAGATAAGGTCAGCAGCTGAAGGACATTAGTGAACGAGATGGATTTTTACAACAATTGACAGTGGTTTTATGATCATCATTAATTCCCAGATGTTATTACATTCAAATTCCACCATCTACTATGGTGAGCATTACTTGATGACTAATCCAGTGACACCACCACTACACCATTGCCACAATTATAAAGAAAGAGCCAAAATAGAAGAGAAGTTAAGAGTTAAAATTGCGTCAAGACCAATTTTGTGAATCTGAGGAATGATTTGGCAAAAGTGAACTGGTACCACTCACATGAAGATATCAGTGTCAGAGCAGTGGGAAGCATTCAAAAGGGAAATTCAAGGTGAAAAGGTGAAAAGTAAACATGTTCACACAATTGAAAAAGGATGGGTAGACCAAATCTGGAACTTCTAGATATCAAGGAGCCGACAACACAAGATAAGGCAGAAAAGGGAAGTTTATCTCTAACACTGAGAACTCAATACCACAGAAAGCTGACAGAATATAGAAAGTGCAGGGTTGAAGTCAACAAGGAAATAAGAAGGCAAAGAAAGGATATGAAGCAATACTGGCAAGTAAAATTAAGGTGAATCCAAATATGTTTCATCAATACACTAAGTGTAAGAAGATAACTAAAGAAAGAATAGGGCATATAAAGGACCAAAAAAGTAAACTATCGGTAGAGGCAGAAGATATTGGCATGGTTCCAAATTAATACTCTGCATTTGTCTTCCCAAAAGAAGACAACATAGATATTGTAGTTAAGAAGCAAGAGTGAAGAATTGGATGTATTGAATTTAGGGATTCAGGGAGAGAGGGAATATTAATGGGATTAGCATCCTTGGAAGTGGATAACCTCAGGCCGTTAAAAGAAGCCCAGGAAGACATAGGTGAGGTCTGACCATTGTTTACCAATCCTCACTGAATGGAGCTGTGGCGCTGAAGGCTTGAGGGACTGTTAACATTGCATCTTTGTTTAGAAAGGGAGCAAGGGATAGACCATGTAATTACCAGCCAGTCATTCTAACCTCAGTAGTGGGCAAATTATTGGAATCAATTCCAAGATATGGGATAAACTGTAGATTAATCAAGGATATTCAGCATGGATTTATTAAGGAAAGATTGTTTCTGTCTAACTTGATTGAATTTTTTGATGAAGTAACAAGGAGGATTGATAGGGCTAGTGCAGTTGATAGGGCCAGCATGGATTTTAGCAAGCCTTTTCTTTTCAGGAACCACTTGGCAAACCAGTTTAAAAAAAACCCATGGTGACGTAGCAAGTTGGATGTGTGGGGAGGTGAGACAAAGCAAAGACGTACACATGAGTTGAGACTTGAAGAGGAACTGAGGATACAAAATTGGCTTAGTGGCATGCCACAAAGGTTAATTGTTGAATGGTATTTTTGTGACTGGAATGCTGTTTCCAGTGGGGTTATGCAGGGCTCAATACCCGACCCTTTGCTTTTTGTGGCATGTATTCATGATTTCAATGTAAATATCAGGGCATGATCAAGAAGTTCTAAGACAACGCAAAAGTTGGCCATGTAGTTGATACTGAGGAGGATAGTCAAAGACTGGTCAGATGGGTAAAGAAGTGACAAATGGAATTCAGCTCATGAGAATGTGTGGTGTTGAGTGTGGGGAGGTGAAATAAAGCAAAGAAAGACATATTGGTTGAGACATGTAGAGGAACTGAGGAACTTTAGAGTGAATATTCACAGATCCCTGAAGAAAGCAGATCATGTTGATAAGGGGGTTAAGGCAGATGGAACACTTTCTGATATTAGCCAAGTTATACAATATAAGAGCAAAGTAGCTATGATAGAATCACTTAAATGATTGGTTAAGCTCCAACTTGTGAACTGAGTGTAGTTCTGGTTACCTCATTGTGCACATGTTATCCTCAATGTTTGCCATTGTTCCAAGACATTTAGAATAAATATCCTGGTATTGAATGAGAACTCACTGGGGAGTGGGCTAGAGTTAATTCTGGTGAAGCATCACATTCAATGGACTAAAAGGCTTCCTTCTGTGCAACAATGACTCTCTTAATGACTTGACCTTGGGAGAGGCCAATGAGAAAAGACAGGAACAGTGGCTAGAAAGTCAACTGAATTAAGAACTGGTCAAAGCACAGAAAGGAAAGAGCCAGTGGCATACAATCGTGCTTTCAACCAAAAGATGAATTTGAATTGGGAAGTCAACTTGGAAAAGTGGTATAGGCCAGAATGTGGAGTTGAGGCCACAAAATCATGATCTTATTGAATGGAAGAGCTGGCTCAAGACACCAAATGGCTTACCTCCTGCTCCTAATTCATATATTTATACGTGAAAGGATTGAAATTCCCATTTAAAAGCAATTGAGAATAGCCCATAAGGGACACCACTTAAAATGCATGCAAAGACCATGTTTAACGTTGGGGTTGGCGGGAGCTGGAGTGGAACTGCAATTTGAGAGGTAGAAATATTTGACCTGTAGTATTTTCAGCTCACAACACCTCCAAGTACTCCCAAGAAACAGGACGTGTACTTCGTGGCAGGACAAACTTTGTTTGTGGTGGTAGCCCCAGCCTCCAGTTTGTATAACGTGAGCAGTTGTAGTGAGGCGGGGCCACAATACAAATGAATGTTTACCTGCAGCAACCGCCTTGTTTACAGGACAAGCAGGTTAGCAACCAGGGGAAAAAGCGACGGGCCAGGAATAGCCAAGAGAACGAAAAGCCGTTACTTGCCGCGAATGTTTGCCCGCCAGCGGACTGAGTGCTCTGCTGATCTTTCACCTGTAGTAAGATCTTGCTTGGAATCCTACCTCCCAACCTGGAGCCCTCATCTCCTACCCACTCTTGCATCGACGATTCTTTGCCCCTGAATGAGAAATGGAAACTGCAGATCCGTCTTTCGTGGACCAGATGACCAGGTTGAAATTAAAACTGTTGGAAAAGGTAAGCAACCCGGAAGGTGTTTGCATTGGAACAGAGGAATAGGGTCTAAATTCATTCGGAAAATCGGTGTCACTGAACCATTTAGTGTCTAGGTATGGATATACTGCAGGTAAACACGCCGCAGAGCTGCTGCCTGACATGCCGTGTTTATGTTACCTGTGCTACAGAATTAATTTAGATTGCAGAATTAGCCCCCACCCCGTTGCATTCCGGTTTCAACGCTGACATCTACCTTAGAATGTCGGAAATTGTCCACATCTGCCTGTTCACACAAAGCAGAAGAAAGCCAACCTGGTCAGTTACCGCCCTATCAGTTTTCATCGTCAGCAAAGTGATAGAAACAGAATTGATAGTTCCATGAAACAGCACTTGCTCAGCAATAACCTCAAAATTATAGATTCATACACTACAGAAAAAGGCCCTTCGGCCCATTGAGTCGACAATAACTACCACTAAAGGCGTGCTAATCCCAATTTCCTGCACTTATCCTGCACTATTTATGTCCTTGAATATTATGGTATTTGAAGGATTCATCCAAATATTTTTTGAAGGTTCCCAGGCAGTGCATTTCAGATTCCCATCACCCACTGAGCGAAAAAGTTCACCTGCCCAGTGAAAAACGTTTTTCCCAAATCCCCACTGAATCTCCTGCCCCTTACCTTAAAACTATGCCCTCTCGCGATTGACCCTTCAACCAAGGAGAACAGCTGCTCACTATTCACCCTGTCCATACACCTCATAATCTTATACACCTCAGTCATGACCCCCTCAGTCCCCTCTACTCTAAAGAAAACAATCCAAGCCTATCCAGTCTCTATTCATAGCTCAATTTCTCCATCCCAAGCACATCCTGGTAAACATCCTCTATACCCCTCAAGCTATCACATCCTTCCTGTAGTGAGGTGACCAGAACTGCACACAGTTCTTCAGCTGTAGCCTGACCAGTGCTCTGTACAACTCCAATATTACCTCTTTGCTCTTATATTCTATGCTATGACTGTATCCCATATGCTTTCTTAACTATCCTATTCATGTGCTCTACTGACTTCTGGGATCTGTGAATAATTACCCAAGATCCCTCTGTTTCTCTAAGCTACCCAGTATCCAGTGTCCTGCCATTCATTGAATACTCCCTCATCTTTTCTCTTCTTCCAAGGTGCTAACACTTATTGGGCTTAAATACCATCTGCCACTGCTCTGCCCATCTGTCCAACCCAGTTATATCTTCCTGGAACCTACAACCATCTTCTTCGCTATTAACCACTCTACCAATCATCTGCAAATTTGCTTAACATTCCCCGCACATTTTCATCTCTATCATTTATATATATAGCAAACAATAAGGGTTCCAAAACTGATCCCTGTGATACGTCGCTGGACACCGGCCTCCAGTCACTCAAACAGCCTTCTACCACTACCCTTTGTGTCCTATTACAAAGCCAGTTTCTGATCCATCTCGCCAAGTTTCCTGAATTCCATGTACTTTAACCTCCTCAATCAGTTTCCCATGTGGGACCTTGTGAAAAGCTTTGCTAAAATCCATATAAACTACATCAACTGAGCTCCCCTCATCCACACACTTGATTACGTTTTCAAAAAATTCTAACAAATTGTTAGGCATGACCTCTTCAATAAGTAACTGATCGCTTGACTCCCCAAAGCCTGTCCACCATCTACAAGGCACAAGTAGGCAGCGTTCCCACTTGCCTGGAGTGTACATCTCCAACAACACTGTGGCAGCTTGACTTCGTCCAGGACAAAGCAGCCTGCATGATTAGCATCCCATCCAGCATGTTATACATTGACTTACTTTCCTCCAAAGACAGAGGCAGGCATCTACAAGATGCACTGTAATGACTCATCGCAGCCTACTCAACAACACCTTCTAAACTCATAATCTTTATCACCTAAGAGAATGAGGTCATCTGATGCATGGAAACACCACTGTCTCCCTGTTCCTTTCTGTCAGCTTATCCTGACTTGGAAATCTATCACACTCCTTCATTATTACTGGGTTAAACACCCTCCCTAAGAGCACTCTGGTGTACCCACATGGGCAGTATTCGATCAAGGCACCACTGCCTTCTCAGCTATTTAGGGATGGGCAATAAACATTAGCCTCATCAGTGACACCCAGATCATGTAAATGAATTGGAAAACGCTTCATATTGCTCTAAGTAACAATGAACCCTCCCTATCCACTAATACTAGACCTTGTATATAGAATGCATATTTGAGAATAACTTTTCCACAGAAAGTAGAAGGAAGAGTAGGCCATTCAACCCTTTGAGCCTGCTCCTTTCAATATAATAATGGCTGATCCTCTTTTTCAATGCCATATTCCTGCTTTCTCTCTGTACCCATTAATGACTTTAATAGCTAAAAAATCTTTTTTTATATATAATAAGCCTTCTGTGGTACAGAATTCCACAGGTTCATTATACTTTGAGTGACAAAATATTTCCTCATCTCCGTCCTAAATGGCCTGCCCCTTATCCTGAGACTGTGTCCCCTGGTTCCAGACTTCCCAACCAGAGGAAACATCCTCTGTGCATTTATTCTGTCCATCCCTGTTAGAATTTTATATGTTTCAATCAGATCCCCTCTTATCCTTCTAAACTCTAATGAGTATAGGCCTAGTTGAACTACTGTCTCCACATAGGACACTCCTGCTATCCCAGCATCGGCCTAGTAAACCTCTGCTGCACTGTCTCTTTGGCAAGTACATCCTATCTTAGTGAGGGAGATCAAAACTGCATGCGATACTGCAGATGCAGTCTTATTCAGGCCCTGTATAACTGCGGTAAGACATCCCTACTCCTGAACTCAAATCCTTTTGCAATGAAGGTCAATATACCATTTTGCCTTCCTAGTTGAGTGGAGGTGAGGTGTAGATGTACAAAGGTACCTTGGGTGCCTTTGTGCATCTTTCAATATTAGTAGCCACTTTGTATCTAACGCTCTTCCTAATTCCTTTTATAATCTATGGTTGAGCCAACTTTGTTCTTTCACTTTTGCACTGACAGAAATGAATAATTCATGCACATGTTCTTTAAATACTAACCATTGCTTATCCACTGTCAGTCCCTTTCATAAGGTTCTTCAGTCCACCTGTGCCAATTTGTGCCACATACTTTGTGGTTCCCGCTATTTAACTTCAGGACCCTAGCTTTGGATTTGAATACTACAGTCTCCATCTTAATGAAGAATTCTATCATATTATGGTTGCTCCCTGCCAAGCGAGCCACACAACAAGATTGTTCATAAATCCTTTCTCACTGCACAGTAGCTAGTCTAGAATGGCCTGTTTGCTGGTTGGTTCTTCAATGTATAGGTCTAAAAAATTATGACATACACACTTCAGGAAATGCTCCTGTACAATACAATTGCATGCATCTCTGATTTCTTGTTTAATGTCTTCCCTTACATCTTCACTACTGTTTGAGGGCCTCTAGATAAACCCCAACAAAAATTTCTGCCCTTTAGTGTTTCTTATTCCCTATCTATATAGATTCCAAGTAATGATTTTTCTGAGCCAATTAACTTCCTCACTAATGCAGTAATTTCCTTTAAGGTTTTGGAGTAGATCTGTAGCTCGGGTTGTGAGTGTTGAGGTTGGTTGGCTCACTGAGCTGGTTTGTTGTTCCGCAGACGTTTCGTCATCCTCATTGCAGCCTCTGATGAAGTAATTTCCTTCTTTACTAACAATGTAATCCCATGTCCTTTCCTTTCTTCCCTCTGTCATTCCTAAATAATGAATACTCCTGAATGTTCAGTTGATATTCTTGGTAAACCTGCAGTCATGTCTCTGTAATTGCATCTATATCATAACTGTTTAGACCACGAGACATTGAAGCATAATTAAGATATTCAGCACACTGAGTTTGCTCTACCATTCGATCATGTCTGATATGTTTCTGAACCCCATTCTCCCGCCTTCTCTCAGTAACCCTTGACCATCTTACCAATCAAGAATCTATATATAACTGCCTAAAGACACTTAATGACTTGGCTTCCACAGCATTCTGTGGCAATGAGTTCTACAGATTCACCCCCCTCTGACTGAAGAAATTCCTCCCTATCTCAGTTCTAAAGGTTGTCCCTTCACCCTGAGGCTGGGCCCTCAGATCATAGTCTCTCCCACTCGTGGAAACATCTTCTCCACAACCACTTTAACCAGACCACTCAGTATCCTGTAAGTTTCAAAGAGATCCTCCCTCATCTTCCTAAACTTCATTGAGTAGAAACCCAGTGTCCTCAATGTCTCCTCATATGATGAGCCCTGCATTTCCGGGATCATTCTTGTGATCCTTCTCTGGACCCCCTCCAAGGCCAGCACATCCTTCCTTAGATACGGGGCCCAAAACTAGTCACAATGTTACAAATGCAGTCTGACCAGAGCCTTATACATCCTCAGCATCTCTGCTCTTGTATTCTAGTTCTTTCGAAATGAATGCAAACATTGCACTTGCTTTCCTAACTGCAAACTGAAACTACATGTTAACCTTAAGAGAATCCTGAACTAGGATTCCCAAATCCTTTGGTGCTTCAGATTTCTGAATCCTTTCCCCATTTAGAAAATACTTATTCTTCCTATCAAAGTGCATAACCTCACACTTTCCCACATTTTATTCCAACTGCCACTTCTTTGCCCACTCTCTTCGTCTGTCCAAGTTCTTCTGCGACTTCCTTGCTTCCTCAGTGCTACCTCTCCCTCCACCCACCTTTGTGAATTCTGCAAACTTACCAACAATGCCCTCCATTTCTTCATCCAGATTGTTAATATATAACAGGAATAGTCATGGTTCCAACACTGACACCCGGCAGAACTGCACTAGTCATCGGCTGCCATCATGAAAAGTCCCCGTTATTCCCCATTCACTGTCTTCTGCCAGTCAGCCAATCCTCTAACTATGCCAGTATCTTGCCTCTAACACCATCCCATGAACCTGAATCCCTCCATTCTATACCATTTCTCCAGCTTTGTATTCATTTGGTAT